TTTCTGATGTAATCCTTCTCTGATAGATTCACCAGGTAGATCATGGGCTTCGATGTCAGAAACAGGTATTTGTTCAACACCTCAATCTGTGGAGAGACATTAAAAAAAGGGTTTAGAAACAGTTTTATATATATATATACTTTTCAGATACTTTCTCAAGAAATCCTTCTGCTAAGACAATGAGCATCCTGTCGCAGGTTTGACGGATGCAGTGATAATAAATCAGAAGGAAATCCCTTTAAAACAAGCTGAACACAGTGAAAGCAACAATTACGACAATAAAGGAATAACGACTACCATAAACTTGCACATTTGTCAAAAAAGCAACAAATAACAGCAAAAATTAATAAATGAGAAATATTATTAGATGCAATAAAGCTAAAAATGTATTTAAACTGAACCATATATTGTAGAAATACTAGCACACACACTGTACCTCTTTGTCATTCCAGTCATTGTAAAACCTGACGGGTTTCTTCTCTTCCACCACCCAGTTCTTCACCTTTATCATGATGTCCTGAAGCAACAAGCAGGAGCAGCAGTTAGGTGACATTACCACACAGACAACAGATGCACAGCAACTGCTCTCCCTGACACACTTTACTTTCTCACTGACACACTTTACTTACATATTCAGGCTTTAGTTTCTTGTCGCCTCCTCTGACTGCAGTTTTCTCCAGTTTGTCGAGAATTGGATCCATCATCTCCTCATCTTTTAGTCGCAGCTCCTCGTGGATGATCTCAATGTCCCTCACTGGGTCAACGTTGCCCTCCACGTGGATAATATCCTCATCGTCAAATGCACCTTTAAAGCACAAACATTAACAGATGAAACCAGCTTGTCAAAAAAATTAACACTTGTTGAAATCTGAGGGTTAAAGATAAATTCCACTCATTAACAAAATCTGCCTTTCCATTCTGTGTGTCTTGTGCAGCCTTGACTACAACTTGCCCCCTAACACCTGTCCACTCTGCTCAGTTGCTGCCACGCAGCAGCTGCAGCCGGCAGTAGCAGTGACAACTCACGGGTCATGTGGAAGATCCCGTCACAGGCACTGATGTGGGAGAGAAAGGCATTTCCAAGTCCCTGTCCTGCGTGAGCTCCTTTCACCAGACCAGCAATGTCCACAACATTCAGGAAGGCAGGGACCTTACTACAAGCAAGCGAAAAAACAGATCGTGTCAATGAGATGCTGTAATGTGTCCAAACACACTGTAGACGGTGAGAATCCCATGGTGGAAGGAAGATGTTGATTTTATAATAATCTAAATGTTCAGTGTGTAAGATTTAGGGGAAAGGGATCTATTGGTAGAAACTGAATATAAAATAGTCCTAGTGATGTTTTCACTCGTGTGTAATCATTTCAATTGGACCAATTGTTGTTTTCTTTACCCTAGAATGAGCCCTTTATATTTAAATACTTTATATTTACATCAGGAGGCCGCCATGTTTTTTTACAGTCCTCCAAACTGGACACACTAAACACCTTTTGAGTTTTTATGACAACTGAGGGTTTCCACAGGTTCTCTTTCCTGTTTGGAATGGGAGGGTGAGGGGTGTTCATCTGCAACATGACACTTCACCACTAAATTCTACACACTGAACGTTTAAGATGCAAATGTCCATGCATGTGTGTCGTGAGTGATGTTGTGAACTCGTCAGTGCTAAAAAAGTTGAGTGCGGTTTTGTCATGGCACACACCTGGCTGGTTTGTGGTACTGACAGAGGAAATCGAAGCGCTCATCTGGAACAGGTACTCTGCTCTCATTTGGGTCAATCGTGCAGAATGGGAAGTTCTCTGCAGCAGCTTGGCTTTTGGTCAGCACGTTGAAAAAGGTGGATTTCCTGCAGAGGAGGAAATGAGAAGATGATCGGCTGCAGCCCAAAGTGTGTTTGGTGTCTCACCACATCTCCACTGCAGGTGTCATGAACGTACCCAACGTTGGGCAGTCCCACGATTCCAATTTTCAAAGATGTGCCGAACCGTCCGATTAATGGAGGCTGCTTCGGGGCTTCTCCCTTTTTGGGGGGCATCTGCAGGAGTTACAAGAAGTCGGTTACACCCTGACAGCCATGATGGAGTAACACCACCACGGTCCTGTTAGTTATACCAACACCAGTCTGAGCTGTTTAATGTGGCTTCACTAAAAAACGTGTCCAGTCATATGCTCATTCAAACACGGCGTGCTAACGTTAGCTAGTGGCTAACAGGAACCAGTTCGAGCTGTTAGCCAGAATATCTCAGCGAACACAGAGTCCAGTGTGGATGTAACGTGAAACACAAGCAACCGGGGAGGTGTTACACTGTGAGCCCCTCGTGTGGTACCTTTCAGTCGGTCTCGAGCCTGGGGACAGCGTGTGGTTCACGGTTCGGGGCTGAGCGCACACACGGCCGCTCCACTGGAAAGACAAGCCCAGGGCAGAGCGGAAGTGTTTGGACGCGACGGCTCTCTGATTGGTCGGCGAAGGAGCACGGGTGCCACGTCACAGCTGCGTTAAAGTTTTTCATTTTACTCAGTTAGTGTTTCAGACACTTTCTGTAGTGACTGTCTGACTCCTTCAAGCTAACACGTTTCAACAGACATTTCAACATTATTGACCAGTTGCACTGTGAATGCATTATCTGTATTTAAATGATTGCTGTGATTTTGATTTGAATCCCCCGAGTGTTAGTATGAGATGATCAGAGTAAAGTAAAAACAGTGTTTGACCTCACAGCGTCAGAAAAGAGCAAGAATGCATAGCTGAAGACAAGATGTGTGTCAGTTTAAAAAATCTACACTTATTTTATGTACAACTGGAATCACATAGTTAAAGATGATATCTAATGAACACTGTATAAACAATGTGAATATAGGCTGCAGATAGATTTTATATTTTGAACTGCAAAACTCTTATCCTGAGTGTTCTTAATATGCACCATAATAGTAAAAATAAATATACATTAAAGTTCTTCTTCTTCGTCGTTGTTGTTGTAATAAACACACTCCAAGCACTCACTCAATTTCATTTGCATTTTTAAAAATCACCGAATAAATAAGAGAGTTCCGAATGCAAAGTGCAGAGTGTCAGGTGACTTTTAAAATAAATATCTAATGAATAACATTAGTGTATTTTGATACATGTGCGTGTTGATAATCTATACAAGAGCCTCTGTGTCACTTCACGTGCATGAAAACGACAGAAGATCAACTTCCACTGCAGGAACGTGATAGTTTCTGTCAATTGCGCATGCGCCCGCAGAGGACGTAGGTCCGCCATCTTGTCTGCAGCCTGGTGTCCTCTGCGGTGTGTAGCCATTTCAACTCGATTCAATTCAGATCAGTTTTGTTGATGCAGATATTAAACTTTATTATCTCAGCGGAGGTAACACAGTGACGTGTAAACCTAAATGTCAGACTGGTGTCATAATGAAAATCAACACGTGACATTTATGTAATTATCTTGTTAATAAGGGATGAACATACATACTCCTGCAAAGGAATCATGTATGGACCAATTACAAGTTAAGAATAACACAATTTAATAAAAAACATTTCTCAACTGATCTGCAAAGAGTGGCTGAAAGGTCCTGAAATCAACACCTTAAGTCCATGGAATAAAAAGTCAAGGGGAATTCTTTACTGAGGGACTGCCCTAAGAGTTACTCATATATGTGAACAGTGGAATCTCTAAAGCTGAAATGGTTTAATTAGATGAATATATGTGGATTATGGGCTGCTGGTCAAAATTAACATTTGCAATTTCTCAGGTTGAGCCTTTAGGAGATGATAAAGAATGATAGCAACATCTTTATGGACAAAACAGTCTAGAATGTATTGAACAAATGAGTTTATGGATATTATCAGTAGCATTTGCTTGTTACTATACATTTGGATCCATCCATGTTCTTCTTTCACCAATTCTAGCCACAGTTCTCAGTATGAATACAATTCAGTCTTTCTTGGCACAATATAAGTTTAATTGTTACCAAAACAGCTTTCACTCATAGTGCTGCTGGAAGTTAAGATGTCCCAGGAAACATACACACAGCATCACAGATACAGTACAAAGCAGCTAACAGAATATAATCCAACCATTATGACATTCATATTCTTTTCCCAAGATATTTCAAAATGAAGTGATGTTGAATACGAGAATTCAAACCAGTAATTTTTATTTGTCAAGGGGAAAAAACTTAAAATGTTTGATAGGACTTCATGTTACATCACTGGAAGCGTTCTTGCTTCTAAATCCACTGGGCAAAGCGGACATTACATGTTACTACAATTAATAAACAGAGCAACTGAGTTTGTTTTGCTTATTTACAACCCTCCCCAAAAGTAATTCCCATTATAAAGAGAGAAAATGAGTGTTTAAAACACATCACTGATCAAACTACTTCAGAAATCAGCTACATACAAACAGCAGAAAGAGAACATGTGGTTTAACTTACACCGAAAATTCTTCTAATGTAAGAAAGTAAGTCTGTCGAGCTAATCAATCATAAACAAGCCAAAACTTTGCTTGTTTAAAAGTATTTTAAGCAGATCTGGAGAATTGCAATTTTCACCCGTTCAATTTTAAAACACTTTTTTCATCATTTCTTCCAAACTAGTTTAATTACATTCATATGTTTCTATATATTTTCTATCTTCTTGACACTAAATTATCGCAAGTTACTTGTCACTTATAACTTGCTGATGTATTTTGATTCTTGCTGCTGTAACACTGTAAATTTCCCCATTGTGGGACTAATAAAGGACTTCTTATTAATCTTAAACAATTGTGTTGATTTTGATTAAATCATCACCAACGCTGTGGTTCTCTGACAGACTGCATTTCAGGACAATTCTATTTCACTTTCAATACAAAAGCAAATCGAGCATTCCAATATCATGAATAATCTGGTAGATAAACAACAACAAAAAAACGTACAAAGAAACAAGCAATAACATTGAACCTGTCGACTCCTCTCGTGCAGCTCAGTAGTGACCTGTAAAGAAAATGACAAAAAGGATATGAACATGAATTGTTAGTTCTTGTGGATCTAATAAATTGCAAACTGTTTCAAAGACAGCTAATGTGTGAAAATTTAATGGCTGAATTTTTATATGAATTTTCAATAAATCAATATATTCTAATCACTGCGGTTGAATGATAGAAAGATGGTTTAAACTCACGAGGTGAGTAGGACCGGGACCGGGATCGAGAGCGGTAGCCCCTGCTGTAGTAAGGAGATGGAGATCTGCGTCTGGAGAGAGAAAAAGAAAAATACATCACTTCACCCGAGGTCTTCAATTTCATACATGTTTACGATCACTGAATGAATCAATTAGTTTGAACCAGGAAATTCTGAAAGCTGAATCATCAATGGCTCAAACAGGCCACAAAGAACCAACCTGTATGATCTGTACTCTCTGTCCTCATAACGATCATAGTCTCGGTCGTAACCTCTATCATAGCCTCTGTCGTAGCCCCTGTCATAGTCCCTTGAGACGCGCCGTGACGAACCACCACTACTGCTGCTTCCGCTGCCGCTGCCACTGCCTCCGCCTCCACCACCACCACTAAAAGATACACAGAATTAAGTTAAGCCTGGAAGACACCACAAACAGAACAAAAACAAAACAAAATATCTTGACTCTAAAAATATATGAAGGCGATGATGGTGGAGAAACACTTACTATGTGGGACGCCCCATGTAGATTCCAGGGGTGGGGGTGTGGGCTCGTTTAGTAATGGAGAAATCCACTCGGATCCTGCGTCCATCGAGCTCCATTCCATTAGCACGCTCCTTCGCCTGAAACAAACAGAAATAGACTTTTGAAACATACTTGCTGTGAAATGGGAAGTAAATTCTCAACACAATAAATAAATAAATATGTTTCCTCGTCTCGTTCTCCATACCTCATTAGAGTCTTCACGATTTTCAAAGTAGACAAAGGCAAAGCCTCGCGAACGACGCGACTGTTGGTCGTACACAATGTTGACGTCACTCAAGGGGCCATATTTAGAGAAAACATCCCTCAGATCTCTCTCAGTGGTGTAGAGGCTCAGTCCAAACACACCCAGACAGCTGTTGGGATCAGGGTTGGCCTATGAGAGAAAAGAGATGTGAAGAGAGTGAAAATACTGTAATGTAAAAAGCTGTTCATGAATACATATGCATTGTATATGATATGCAGTTGATGCATGTGGATAAGCTGGGAAATTCACAGAGCAGGGTAAAATAGCTAGTGCTATATTAAAGGTGATAGCTGAGAACATTTTCTGGATTTTCCGGGATTTTGGTTTAGAATTAAACGGTTTGCAAGTTCAATGTTTCAGCTCTGGATGTCAAATTCAAAAAGACTGTCACTGTGCACAACAAAAGTGGTTTCACTCATGATCTTCCCATATTAAGACACTGGACACCGGTTTAACTTAGTTCAACTGCTGTGAAGGTTATCCGATCACAAATGTCAAATTCACAAACAAAGTATATTTAAAGCCTCTACAGACCCTGTTACCAATGTGTCTGCGTCGGTTTGACATGGGGGATCGGCTATGGCTCCTCCGGTGACGATACTCCCCGCTACGAGATCTGCTCCTGGAGCCGCGTCTACGAGAGCGGGAACGAGAGCGGGAGTAGTGCCTGCGTGAGCTCCGGTGGGACCGGGACCTGGGGATATGACAGAAATGTGACACTTCCAAAACAGACATACACAACTGTTAGTGTTTAAGAATCCACACATCACAACCAACTGAAGCCAGTCGTACCTAGATTTGGATCTAGATCGCGAACGAGACCTGGACCTGGAATGGCGGGAGCCATCTTTGGAGCGTGCTGGCGAGTGGCTGGTTGACTTGGCAGAGCCCCGAGGGGATGCACTCCTCGAGCCGGGCCGAGAGTCCTAGACACACCAGACACCGAGGTCAGGAACACTCTGACGCCAAGCGCTTGTCAAAAAACAGGAATTAGGGGACAGAAGGTGGTGGCGCTCGCCCTCCACGTGACTCTTTCAGAAGGAGTTCACCATATATTTGATGTTTAACAGGTTTTACACAAAATAATTAGATATTTGATAACATAAAGTCGTACATTGTAACAAATTTTATAATTTAGCTTGAAATTGTAATAGAACAAAAAATAAGCCTAAAATACATGTAAGGATGGACCAGTGATGTTTCTGATAAAGAGAGGAAATAAATTGTGCATGCTTTAGAGAAAGAAACAGGATGAAATAGAGCAAATTGTTAGGAAATTACTCATACCCTGGTAAACTTCTGATCTTAACTTCATTACTTCTGTAACTTCATTACTTCAACAACAACCCTTCATTTCTTCTTTCTTCTCTTTGACATTATGACTTCTTTTTTCCTCCTCTTCCCCCATTTATCATCTGCCATTACAACACTAGTAGTGGGGACAGATCTTGATCGCTTCTTTTCAGCATCCAACACATTAGCATGCATCAACACCATCAGCGTCAAACAAAACAACTTCGCATCTGAAATCGTCTTCCGCCTTTTTCTTTCTTCCAACCTCAACCTTAACAAAGAACAAACAAGGGTGGTAAGGCATGATGTTGGTTTCTGTTGAAAACCAGAAAGGTACAAAGAAAACAATTGCAAAAGAACATAGATCAGGTGAATACATGTCAGTATGTTAGCTTGACAAAGTCTCAAGAGCTGCAACAAAATACATATTTTATCCATTTATTAGTTTGAGTATCTTCTTGCTTCGTCTCAATTATTTGCTTCATTTTCCCAAAAGTGAATGTTATATTAAAAAACGCAAGTTTAGCTTTTTGGGCTAAAAAAAATGTTGGGAATCAACATTTCCAAGTTTGCTGATCGATTAAATCAAAATACTGCACGCGATTTAACCAATGATGGAGAAGAATCAATAGTTGTGTTTAACAACCATTCACCAACACTATGGAGATCTGTCAGTAATAACAAACACTGGTGGTGGGTTAGCTACACCTGCAGCTGTGCTCTGTTGGTCCTTATGCTTTAGCTTAGCAAACGTTACGACACATTCACGCTGCGTTTATTACAGTACAGTATCTCTATAAGTAGTGGCTGCTGGCACGTGATGCTAAAGTCAATCTCACACAGGAAACATTTAAACTTTAGGTCTGAGGCCCGTTTTTAAAATGTGTTTCCACCATCGGCCCTGCAGGCATGGCTAAGCTAGCTTTGAAAACATCAGCTAGCTAAACGTCATATTTTTAAAGGGGATTTTCTCACCTGCTCCCTGAACTCTTTCTCGTTGTCACTCATTTTCTAACGTTGTTTAACAAAAGATGCGTAAAATCTAAGTGGTGAAGTAGCTTTAACGACAGATTTCACGTGACAGTGACGAATTTAACGCGACGCAGACGAAGCTGATCGGAGGCGGCTGAAGGAATGTTCGAGTCAACAGCTGGAGGTTTCCTGTTCCGGTTGGATTTTCAAAATAATAAAAAAGTATACAAACCCTTTCATTTGCGCAAAGCAGAAAATTAAAGGGAAAATAAATGTTTGACCACTGATGCAATCGATTTCTTCAGTGAATAGATATTATCTACTACTGGGGCTGTAACAAACTATCAACACTTACCTAACAATACCTTTGTTCACATGGTTCAATGAAGACAATTATGACAATTTATCCTAATAGAGATTCAAACATCCAGCTCCACGTGAACCCTCCAGTAAAAATATCAAACTCCAATTTAAAAAAAATACTTTATTACAGGAGGAAAGAAAAATCACATTTTCATAGCATGACCTCAAACATGCATGTGTGTACAGTAGTTTGTTAAGCAGAATGCTATAATGAAACTCAATGTAATAGCCTTAAGTAGCCTCTTGCATTATGATCATAAAGGGTTCACAGACCTAATGGCGCCTTATGTTAAATATGGGCAACCCACTATTAATGCTCATTCATGGAGGAAAAACAAACTATACACACACACTCCAAAAACACTTTCTCATTCAGTCATCATAAATAATAGCAAAATATATATATTACAAGCATTCAACCATGCATTTGTCTCAAAAGGAGGTATCATCTTTATGTCAGAGATTTAATTCCACATCCTAACATATTTATTTGCCAACCACCGTGTTGATCACAACTGGAAGAGAACAGCCAAATTACATTGACAAATCAACGACTACAATTGAAATAATGAATTTTGAGTCCAGCTCCTCAGATGTGACTTGGAATTATGTGTGACTCAGTAATTTACAAAAAACAAAATAAGAGCATGCTCCATGAGCTCAGTGTCAGAGGGCTGAAGGCACTTCAGGCAGTACTTCAAATCAGTAAATCTAACAATCCAAAGTCAATAAAAAAAAGCTGTTCAGTCAGTAGTGCCAAAACATTTCTAACAACCTAATACTGTCTCCAATTACAACTCAGAGATTACAAAACATTGATATGTCCCCCATAGAAGACGGGACATGACCAACTCTTAAGACTAGTGTTTCATTTGTACAGACCAGAACAGCCCAACGGGGTTTGATTTCTGCCCACTTTTTTGGCCCATTTTTTTCTTCGACAATCACCATTATGTGATTAAAGTTAGAGTCTCTGTTGTTCTGGGGTTTAATGGACAGGAGATTGCTGTGATACTTTATAGCAGCTTCTGATTGAGGATTTCCCAAATCATTAACTTCCTGAACAGCGGCATGTGGCACTGTAGAAAAAGAAGCAGAGGACACTTTCAGTTTTAAAGGAATAGATTTATAGAAAAACAATGATATTAGATGAATGGACAGTATTTACCTGTTTGAAGGTGAGAGGCCTCCCTTTTGCAATATAGTCAGCATATTTACAGGCAAAAACACCACAGTCACTGCCATTTTTCTGCTGAGGAATCTCCTACAGGAAACCACAACATAAACATTAATCTCACATTGATAGACATATTGTTTGAGTCACGTCATTCATCCCAGTGTAACTTACCGTGGCCCTCAAGCTTCCAATAGTCCATTTGGCACTGTCGAGCTCCCTGCCCTTCTTTGCTTTATGCTCCTCTTTAAGATAGAGTCTGGAAAATGAGCACAATGACGGCGCCAATTATTTAATAACATAGAAAAAATACATTTGAATTAAACAGATAACTGAATTTTAAAAGAAAAATGAGGACTCACAGTAATTGACTGCAGATGTCATCATGTCTCTGGCCCATTGAGTCATATGACTTCACTGTCTTTGAATTAAAATCAATGACCTGGAATGAGGAGAAAGTTGAAATATGTTTAACACCATTGTCCAAGTCTTGGGTTTTTTTTGTTTTTTTTAGAAAACATTGATTGACAATTGAACAACTGATTAAAGGCAGATATGTGTGTCACGAATCAACAACTTCAGTGAGGAATAAGAAATGAATAAATAATACATCTACAGTCAGCTAGTAGTTCTGACTCACAGCCATCGCCCAGTGGACACCCAGATGCAGAGGGACCAGGATGAGGTCGTAGAGGAAGAGGTCAACAGCCTTGGTCCAGCGCTTTACAGCAGCATGTCCTCCAACCTGCCCACCTCCTCCACCCCGCAGTTTAGGGAAGAAGAAGGTGCTAAACGAGTAGACTCTTAATCCTGCTGCTTTGATAGAACATCGCTCCATGACCAGGGACAGGTAGAAGTTCATCACCTTGGCCGAGGAAACAGAAGAAGCAAAATATAATACATGTTGAAGGCAGACATTGGTCACATAACTGACTGAGTTGGTGGTGGATCTTTAATTTGATACAATTTGCAAAACAATAGAAAGATCTATTGATGTAAAATGTATATATACATAGTAACATATTCAGTATATTGTCGGCATAGAAAAGAATGCTCACTCTGTACTGTCTGTCAAACATAGACACGACACATGAGAAACATCCAGAGTAAGAACAGTAATTTTTTAATGACTGATTTGTATATTTTACTGGAAGATTAAAAACCTAACCCACTGGAAAGTGTCAACATTTGTAACAGAGGGAGAGGCTCTGAAAGAAATCTCCAAATTGAAGCCCCACTTTCCCAAACCTGTCTTACATACCTCATCATTTAGCCAACTGCCTTCCTGTAGCGTGGCCAGGTCTCTCTGTGTGATGCGAAGTTTAAAAGCCGCACTAAGAACGAGGTTGGGATCGCTCTGAGCCAACGCACCACTCACCTCCACAGCCATGTCCTACACAAAAACAAGAAATGCAGTGAAATAAACTGTACGGATTAAGGGTGAAAATAAATCCAAGTATCTGAAACATTTAATCGTACCTTTGTCAGCTTAGGTATGTCTTCATCACTGTGCCTTGCGTGTGCTGTGTAAGCTGTGTGTGTGTCAGGCAGACTGACAGCAGGAGTCTCTCTGTCCACTAGACTGAGGCGAGTGGCTACTTCAGTAGAGAGGTCCAACTCTGCTGCCTGTTTCTGCCAATACACAGTCAGACATAACAAGTTACGTTTAGGTTTCCATTATAACTTCATGAGGGCTGTGACATGTTGGATGAGAGCAAGACAAATGGCTACCTTTGTATTCCTCGCAGGCTCTGTGTTCTCAAAGCTGCCACTAAAAGACTTGCTGAAAGTCAAACCGCCCCACCTTGAGATGATACAGAGGTTAGAGAAATAGAATTCATCATCACACAGTTATGAAGAAATACTACACCAACCTGTCCTTAGCTGCAGATGCATTTCTCCATGTAAACACGCTTGGGGCAGCTGTACAACAGACACAGATGTCAGTTCAACAACACTGAAACATTTTCACTGATGACAACAAATGGTTTCTGTGTGATGTGTAAAGGTTCTGTATATTAAGAAGTTGTGTTACAATCAAATAAATATATTTAGATTTTCGGCCAAAACAAGGAATTTGAAGACAACATCTTGGGACTTTGGACTAAATCGTTTCACTTAAAACATCCCAAAGCAAATACTTTTACAGAGGGGTGAATTTTGGGGTGAATAATGTCTATAGACGTATCTTACCTGTGTATCCCGTCCTCCTGATGGGCACCGACTCAAATGTTTTCCCTGAAGCAGCAGGTTTATGATCACTCTGTGACAGTGACTCACTAGGAGATAAAGGAGAAAAGGATCCCAGAGGATGACTTAGTTCATGTCCAACAGTTAAATGTTGAGTGGATCTTGGTGGAATATCCAAAAATCTCAATTTGAATACTCACTCCTGTGGTTTTGTTTGGTTGAAAGGCAGTGGTTGACTTTTGCTGTATTTTTCTGTCACCATCTCCAGCAAACGTCTATAGTGCTCCTTATTATTCTGCTTTATGGCCTGGAGGCAAAACACAAACACATAACTAACACAGAAAAATGGTACAGAGTTGTAAAGCATGACTTTTGAGCTGATTCTCTTGGTAGAGAAAAAACTGCACCCTGGATGCTGAGGAGCAGGGACTATTTTATTTAATTACACAGCAATTATGCACGTTGAAGCCAGTAAACTATACTCCACAGAACAGACGCCTGAGCCAAGATACAGGATTTGTGCTTAGTAAGGTAACTTGCTAACGATGGTTCATTTCCTACAGTGAAAATAGGCACATTAACATTTGCTGAACACCTAATCTTTTTCAGAGCACGTCAGGTTTGAGATAACTGATAAACACATAGGAAAGAATCCCCTACTGACCAATGAAGTTATTTTTAAATGACATCCCCATTCATATTTTTTTCACTTGAAAGTCTGTTTGACATTGCAAAGGTTGCAGCTGAATGAATTAAGCTAAAACTCCATAGACGCAATGGCAAAACATTAATTTAATGAAATATACAAATGTAATTATAAGCAGACCTACGTGTGACCAAGTGAAAGGGCAGGGATATTTTAAGCCTATTAATTTACACATTCACACACACCTTCCTTCCGCTTTTGGCAGCAACTGTTGCTTTTAGCCTGGATTATGTGTTTAGCTTATTTGTATTTGTGTAACATTATACAAAAAAATAACATCACGCCTGTATTTCTTGTACATCATCAATGATTAATACAAACAATTCAATATTTCACCTCTTCCACAGTAAGACTGGGCTTGTAGCAGCGGTTGTGACCAAAGCCGTTACAGGTTGGGTCAGAGTTAGCAGTTCCCACCCTCAGAGTCGACCTCGACGGCAGCAGCTGAAGGGAGCCTCTCCTCTCTCTTTCCTTCCCTCGGTCAGGGAGGCCTGCAGAGACTGTCATCCCACTGGATTCCAAAAAGTTTAACACATAAGCAAGGGAGCATCTTCAAAAGGTGACACTGGAGAATCATTAACGATAATGCAGCTCTACAAGTATGATCAGTAGAGAATTAATTAAAAGTTGTTGGGGCAGACACTAATGAAGACAATATCAAATACTGGACATCTTACCTGTATTTCCTCATTAGAGGAGGTGAGGAGCTCTGAAAAGCATTCTTCCCTCCCCTGTCATTCACTCCACCAACTGGTTTATCTGTGGAATAAGACAAAATCAAGAAAATGGCCGCGTGGTTTATGAATGAAATACATAAGAAGAGTATGGATGAGACAAATAATATACAAAAATAGTATTTTCCTTCAGGAGTAGCTGCTTCAACTTACCCATTCTCCACTCAGTAGTGTTCAGCCATGAAGTGTGGAGCTCATCTATCCCCATCAACGTGACAGGCTGTATTCACAGAGATACAACAACATAAAACGATGGAGAAAATAAACATAACAATCGAGCATCACACAACAGTCACACAACTTCCTGATCTTTTAACAACTCTGTGTATGGCTGAATGTGTCTCAAGTAAGGACTCAAATGTCTATTTGAATGGGTGGCTCTCTTAGGTCTGTGTAAACAATATTCAGAGAAGTGTTCTGAACTATGTAGAGTTGTGGAGTTAGACCATATGCGTTTTTCAGTATTTTTTGGTCAGGTTAGAAAATATGGATCTGTGGGACACAAACCTGTGTGTCTTCATAATGTGTGGTTTTCTCACGCCGGGTCGTCAGAGGTTTCCGCACCCTGAGCAAACCTGCTACCCCAGCCACAGTCTTCTTCACAAAGCTGATGACTACATCTGAAACACAGGATACCACATGTGAACAAGTTTATTCATCTGTTCATACGTTTGGATTAAATATTGAGGTGTTCTTTGTTGTAAACAAACCTCGTCTGCGTCTTTTAACCTCTACAGGGTCACTCTGGCAAACACTGCCTGCAACATCAACACTGTAACAGAAAAACACAAGATTAGACATCAGTGATTCAAACAACATATCAATATTATCGATGATGAGTTCAGCCTGAGCTTGTTTCTCATGACCATGTTGCCAGTACACCAGTTACACACAGCTAGACCTATGGTGGTATATCATCCTACCATTGCAATAAATACTTCTGAACTTCATACTTACACTGCTCTGCATTGTCACGAGAAGTATTGTTATTAACTCAACCACATTTATTTAACAGGTAGAGACACTGCTTTTCAAGATTTAACCGAGAACATATGATCTCTCCCCAACACATGATGCCTCATTACAGATTGATAAAACTAGATTAGAATATTAAACTCCTGTTTACTTGTGAATAATAAATCCACACGTTACTACATTAGCAATAACAATGGTTCGATACTACAAAGTAAAAAAGAGGGAAGGGCAAACAAAAACTTTAACCTTTGCTTATTTAATATGAATGTTACTGCTGCTACTTTAATCAAAGTGTAACTATAAATGTGTTTAAACAACATATTAACGGCCCTAATTTAAATAGAGATATGCGTTAATATGGACAAGTTTAGCTCAGGAGAGTTTAGCAGTTAACGTGAACCTGTGTACAGGAAGGGGAAGTTGTGTTATGCTAGCAGTTTGCTAACAACACAACAACTTAGTAACAACAGCAGGCGATATTCAGGATATTAAAAACACAACGTTACAGTTTAATGTCGCGGATGATTCGCCCTGTTGGTTTGTCAGTCACTTCGTTAATCAATCTATCACTCTCGGTCGGCCCACGGGGAGAACTTCAGGTGGCTAACGTCCAACATCAGTTTATATACGTTTGATAGATTAGCATCCAAACCAGGTGAGTTTAAACACGTGGAGTTGAATCGTTAATACAAAGAGGGACATGGATAAAGCTTTTCTCCAAACACCGACCTCTGGTAGTTCCGTTTAGCCGCTCTGCCGTGACTCTGCTGCCGCTGTGCTCCGTCTTTAACGGCAGGTCGCGTGGATGTCCCCCCACTAACGTTCCCTCTGCCGGGCCACTCGGTGGGGTTTTGCCCCGTAGCGGGCTCAAACAGCGACGAGATGCCGTCAACTATCCATCCATACATCCCAGACAAATACGAGAAGAGTGTACCGAGGTCTTCTGCGCGGTCCAGGACTGTTTCACCGCAGAGAGGACGTCTGACTGACGATGTGCGACACAGACCGCTCCGCCGTTATCTTAGCTTAGCGTTAGCATCGCCGTGTTGACGCGCGGCGGCTGTGCGTCACTGACTGTTTCACGCGGTGCGAACGTTCTGCGTGTCGACGGACTACCGCGCGGGCGGAGTCGCAACGTAACAGCTGGATAGACACGCAAGCGGTGCGCGCGGGTCCTCGAAACCAACGAACCCCTTATCGAGGAAGTTAAAGCGCGTCAGAGGCAGATCAGAATGTGATTGGCTGACGCTGAGCTGCTCAGTTCATCGGTGTTGCGTAATAATGTTCAACAACACGAAGAAATAATGAACTGATTCAAATACTTCACTAATAATGTTCAACAACATGGCCTGAGGAAATAATGAATAATTTCAATACAAAATAAATACAAAATTCAACTTGAACACAACAAAAATCTATGAAATGTAAAAATTAGTAAGAAATGTCATATTTTTTTAATTATTTAAATTGGAAGATTGGAGAACCAATAGAAACTGGAGTCAAGTTCCCATTAAGGCAAAATCAGGCTTGGCAAGTAAAGCTGATTGTGAGTTGAAGAAGAGCATCAAACACAAAGCACCTCATTAAAACAGACGATTCTTTGTTGAAAAACACTCAGTCCATTTGGTTTGTTGTCACACATTTAAATTATTTATTAACTTTATGGTAGAAACATAGATGATACAAAAACTCAGATGCAATAATACAACCTCTAGCTGTGTTGATCATGGGTTTCCAGTGTAAAACCAGTGCACATTTGGACACATGAACATCAGGCTTATGTACATAGTAACAACATGGTATAAAACATTAGTAGAAAAATAACAAATGGCAATATTCAAAATAAAAACATTTGTTCTCGCAACATCTAAACAGTGACCTTCAAAATATTAAGGTACAGAGAATACAAAGGTTACATTAGAAAATTTAAAAAATAATTTATGTACGTATAAAATTCACGCCATCAGAAAGAAATCCCCTCGCATCGGATATTCCTTTCTTTATGTTTCTACATAGGTGTAAGGCATGGAAAGATTTGGAAGGATGTGCAGACAGGAGACATTCATATGTTCAGTGGACGGATTACTTTTGGTCGGACTGGAGAACAGACGAGCCTATGAGAACACAGAGACAAAAAAACCCAGAATATCAGGAAATGCAACAAACAAACTTTACATCAAGATTTAACTTGCATTAAAACAACACTCATGAATCTTGACTAAAGTCAGCTGTTGTCTGTAACTTTATAAAAAAATCCAATGTCCTCTTTCTTTTCATATAAAGAAAGCATAAAATAAATAATAAATGAAGGAAATAGAACAGAATTATTGTACAAGCCAACATCAGTTATGTAATCAAAGAAGAAAAAAAAACAAACATTAGAAAACAGCTTGGGTGGAAAATAGAATAAAAGACCTAAATTGGGGCGGCTTATCTGTCACCACTACATATGCCGCTCCTTAAAAAACCCAAATACAGAAAATATTGCAAAGGCAGGTTAACAGAACATCTTCATGTGAAAATATTCAATTATGTAAAACCACACATGAGCAAATGCAGCTGCAATGAACCCTTGAATCATGGCTAAATTGGACACTTTCAAATAAAAAAAAGAAGAGGGTAAATGAAGTGCACTATACATTATAATAAATAGGATGATTTTGGACACAGTGGAGTTTTGTGTTTGGTGAGTGATCAACAATCAGAGCTTTCTATCAGAACATGATTAATGAGCACAACAGCAAATTTTTTAATTGAAGAAACCACAAAATGACCATCATGCTTTGTTTGATGATTTGTTTCAGGATCAAATTTGTGAAAACGCATGAATACAACAGTTTGACAGCTGACTTAGATCTCAGTTGTCAGAGAGAACCAAACCAACAGGATGTCAGCTAGAAATGATTTGATGTCAAGCAAAGTTTAAATCTCTGAAAGTTGATGTTTGTATAATTCTGTCATGTACTGAAATACAACACATTCAAATGCTTTAGAATATACTCAGTGATATTATATAATTGTAATCAGCAGAAATGATCCCAAATGTGAATTAACAATAGCATGACACACTGGTATGAATTATATGAGAGCCCAAAACCTGCAGGACAGACCGGAGAGTTGTCACCTCTAATATGTGGTGCACTCAGTGACTGCTGACCCATTTGGGAGGAGCATTGTGCTGCTTTATTGTTTGGTGGAGTGAGCATGTTACACTCACACTCACCTGGACCATACAGGTAAAGTGGCGACAGGCAGCTCAGGTACAGCCACGTCCTGTTCTCCTGCAGCCAGCGCTGCCGATAACCAATCATATCAGGGGAACAGGCTGACCGTATCCTCCTTTCCTCTTTAGGGAGTCTATGAGTCTTGCTTACTGGGTTGGGAGACGATAGAGCACAGAGGTATTGTGGGATTCGATAACACCGTCCCAGAAAGCGTTAGGGTGCCCATCACAACATTATTATGTTTTGTCTCGTACTAAACTCATCGTGGGAGAAAAAAGTGACCAAAGAAAGACGCATGCATCTGAAAGCAATAAGTACACCCTGTGTCTTGTGTACAATTTATTTTAATTTTGTGCCCAGAACCTAAGAAGCTTGATAATGTGGGATAAAGGAGGATACTGTGAAATCTCTAGGGTACCACTACCAGTGATTTTTCAATCTTGGCCCATTCAAGTTGCCTGTTTCACCCAACTTGTAGGTAATGCATCTCACCTTGCCTGGCTCCCACCAAACGTTGCTGCACTTTCTCTAGATGGTGGATATATTCTGTCAGGGATCCTTCTGGATCCTGAGACGCTCCCCCTGAATGCCCAGAGGGAAGGGTGGTGCTGGAGTATGACCTAAACAAAGACGAAAACAATTACTTTTAACTGACTGACACAACTGTTAGGTCTCGGATTAAAAGACTCTTTGATAAAGTGTGGGCCAAACCTGTTGTGCAACCTGAAGGGTGATTTGCTGGGTGGGACGAGAGCCGACACCGTGTCTCTATTCGGGGACGAGTCGTAATTTGATCTGGACTGTTGCTGCCTTAAAACTTCAGCTTTAGGCCCTGTAATAGACGGTAAGATTTAAAATGCACCCACTCACACAAACACAGGATGAATATAATGTTAAACTGGGTTTACCGAGCTGACCTGGAGCATGACCATTGACAGTCCCAGATATAGATAATCTTCTGATTGCTTTCTGCCATTTCCTGGTCAGGAACCTCATTCTGAAACAAAGAGTGAGGAGTTTGAGTTATCCACAATCAAGGCCGAGGTAACTTAAACTACTTTTAAATGCTGGTATATATAAAACCCTCATGCTCTACCTTGAGATCGCAATGACAGCTCGTACAGCAGCTCTAAATCTCCTGAGGGGCCGGTGCAGGGAAGAGAGTGGTGGCGAGGGCCACGCCCCCATACGAGCAATGACACACAGTGTGACCTGCTCACAGTCCTGGAAACCTCCCAACAGCAACAGCAGGTAACGCTTCTGATACACCAGAGCTTTCCTGAAGCTCTCAGCACGCAGGTAACGCTCATACAAACGCTGCACCTGCAAACCAGTAAACAGAAGATACGTCAGTGTCTTTACACATGGTCAGTTCTAACAAGGGGATTCTTAAATGTCATTTGGCTGGTGCAATTGACATTCATGGATTAATGAACGGAGAAAATTAATTGTTTGAGAAACAAAAGTATAACATTTTAAGGATGCCTTATATTTTCGGTGCATCTGTGTAAATAAATATAAAGTAATGTATCTAAATCTAATTTCATCATACGATATAAAAGATCAGATTTCACATGAATGCTCTCTTGATACCTTTCAAATATTAATGTCATATTTTAAGTAAAATAAAATATCTAAAAACTGAATACAGATACAACAAAACACTTTTCAGGATCACAGCAAATCTATTTGATGTACACCAAAATTCTGCAGTAACAAATGTGTGCATGTGCGTCCATTTCCAACTCACCTTGCTGTTGTTGATCACATCATTGATGGGTCTGTTTTCAGTTTCTGCCGTGACCTTGGCAAGCTGGTTCTCAGAGTGGCGCAGCTGTCGCTCCAGGAAGGTGAGTCTGTGTTTGTGAGTGGCTCTCTCCTGACTCAATGATGTCACACGCTCCGTCAGCTCCGAGTTCTCACTCAACAACTTCTCCAGCAGAGTGGACGATGGTGACGTGGATGAAATCTACAGTGAGAGAAGTACATTTATTTTGGCAACATTTAACAATGAATACAATGTTTGTGTTGTTACTACCACCATCAATAATAACAGTGCTGTATGTGATAATTATAACCACTTGTGTACCTGCTGGTTTTGTTGTGAGCTTCCTGCCTGAGCGCCGTCAGTTTGGAGCTGCTGCTGTGTGGATGCAGGCTTGTGTTGTTGCCCTGTGGTCCGTCCAGACATCCTCTGAGCAGCCATCTCTCTCTCCTCTCGTTCCAGCTCTGCTAGAGTCTGCTGCAGCTCCTGCATTCGCTGCTGATCCTGCTGCCGCAACAACTCCAACTCACACTAAAGTGAGAAATGTACATCAGGTGCATTTTTTAGTCTCCAAAATGATCCTGAATGTGAGCACTGTATTTGTGAAGGAAGTGAGCACATTAGAGAAAAGTAAGAACTTTGTCAATAACTTACCAGTTTGTTAGTGGTCCTCTCCTGACGTCTCTCTTTCTCCATCTGATCTTGCCGCCCCTTCCTCCTTTCTCTCTCCCACAGCTCCTCCCTCTCCCTCTCTTTGTCCTTCATCAGTCGGAGTCTCTCCTTCAGCTCTGCGAGTTCCACCCCAAGGCGCCTGGACCGCTCTCGCTCCACCTCCAAAGCACGGCTGGCTTCCTGTTTCTGCTCCTTCAAGGTCTCCATCGCCACACGCTGTCGAGTGGTGGCCTCCTGTTCTTTCTGCAGCTCCTCCCTCCTTGTTCTGTCCTCCTCTTCACATTTCCTTCTGCTCTGCAGTAACTCAGACCTCAGTTTGGCCATCACAGCTGCCAGCTCCTCTCCCTGCATTCGCTCCTGCTCTAGCTGGCTGCGCATGTCAGAGATAAACTTCCTGTCTCTGGCTGAGTCGGCCTCATGTCTGCGGCTAAGCTCATCCAGCTGCCTGGAGCATCGGTCTCTCTCTTCGTCCAGCTTCCTGTGAGCAGCTGCAAGTTTAGAGTGAATCTCACCTGAGCGAAATTCTGCTTCGGTCAAGAGACGCTGGATACGAGTCTTTTCTTTCAGGATGAGATCGTGTTGCTGGGCAGAATGCTGACGTTCATCTTCTAGCTCCTTCTGGGTGTCGTCTACCCGTTTCTCCAGCAGCTCACTGCGCGACTGTTCAATCTGTAGCTCACGTCTGAGGTTGCTGCATGCCACCCTCTCCTGCTCTACATGACCCTTCAGAGCCATGACCTCTGACCTCTGTTGATCAGAGGATACTTGCATAGCCTGGAGAGAGAAGAGGTGTATCAGTTTAAAAGTGAGAGCTGAAGCACACTTTGGATTCTTAACACTGTTTGATCTTTGACTGATTTTTCTGTGTTTAAGCTAATGAAGTGTATACACTATACACAGTATACACTGTCCTCATCTTACCTCTCTCCTTTCTCCCGCCTCTCTGTCTTTATGGAGACTCAGAGCTCTCTCCTGCTCCAGTTGTTGTTGAAGCTCCTGGAATCTGGTTTGCTCTTCCTTCAAAGCCACTTCAGCTTCTTCTACAGCGAGTCTAAAAAAAAATAGCATTACTTTAAATCCACATTTATAAGGTTATACTGTATATATAGAATTATTCCAAATACAGCAAAACACCAGCTTTAAAATTCCCCTTTGATTAATTGACTGCAAAACCTTTAAATGACGACAAGAAATTTGACAATGGTGAATTGACCCATGTCTGATGTACATATATAATTGAGATGTGCTCGTGTCCTGTTGTACCTGAGCGATTGTATTTTTTTATTTTGCTCTCGCTGTGTGTCATGAGCACATTTCAGTTGTTTCTGATTCTCCTCCAGCTCTGCTTTCAGTTGGGATTCAAACTGTCCATCTCTCTGCCAGTCATATTCACCCCTGTTGTCAGTCTGAGGGACAAAGACAGAAGATCAGCACAGATATTCAACTGAAATTATTGGATGAGAAATCTAGTACATAACATATACAAAGTAAAAGAAGAGAAAGTTATCCAAACAAGACTGGAAAACACCCCAACCGCACTGTAGAGGATTGTAAAGTCTTAATTCAAAACTAAGGAGACTCACTTGTGTGTGTCTCTGTGCCATTCGACAGAGCAGCTCTCGGAGAGCGATCACAGTCTCCTGCAGCGCCCTCTTCTCCTGCTGCCAGCTCATGGGAGGGTTCGAGGATGATTTGTCCATTAAGGTGGCGCTATCTTCACCATGATACTCCGTCTGACTCGATGAGAAAGCTTTTACGTCTGAGGTATGAGGCTGGATGGAGGAGGTGGCACGCCGCTGTGACAAGGTGAGAATTCTGCAGCTTTCTTGATAAACCTTTTTCAACAGATTCTGCAGAACGATCAGGAAAGAAACTTAGTAACATTGAGGCTATGGAAGTAATAAATAGATTTACTGCCAAGTGTATATGAGGCCCACCTGGAGCTCAGGAGATAATAGGTCATCGCTGTAGCTCATGCTACCTGCAGCACTGTCTGTGTTAGCTGTCGGGTTCATTCCTCGACAGCGGAGATACTCAACAAACTGAGCATCCAGTCTTTCAGTCTGTTCAAGCTCGACTCTCAGCCTTGCACCCAACTCTGAACTCACGTCTGAATCACAAGAGAACAGAAGAGTTAAGTAGATCAGTCTGGTGATGGTCTAAATTTATTACTGTCAATAAACTGCGCCTACTCAGTTTGTCTGTGTGAGCAACCGACAGCTTGTTGAGCTTCTGACCCTCACATTAATAGCTTGTCCGAAAGCTATTAAAAAACGCATGAGTCAGTCCCACCACTGCATTGACTGACATACTTACTAGTGAGTAAATCCCACACACACACACAGTCAATCTATTAGCACACTAAATCTGCAGTTGAAAATAGTCCCAGCAAAATACACTATTTACTCAGTAACGTCTGCTAAAAATGTTCTTTAAAATCTATACTACACAGATCATACGGCCAAACAGACACATATAAAAGTGGTGTCTGGGGTTGCTTTATTTTCTTGGAGACATTTCATATCTCATCTTAAGCAGTCGGGCTGCCTTGACCTATCACCTGTACATAAGAACCATATGACCAACAGTCATACAGGTGCAAATACTCACTGCTTCCATATCCATCACTGGCCCACTCTGGTGCTGATAGGGAGGAGGCAGAGCCAAGTGGAGACGGAGGGGCTGTCAGATCAAGTCCTTCCAAGTCACGCAGCTAAGAAGAAATTTACAAATATTTATCTACATTTAAACCCAAGTTCAATCCAGGAGCTTCTTAAAGAATGACAATAAAATAGCCTGTGTAAAAATGTCAGATGACATACTCTGTCATTATCTAGAGAGTCAACCATGGAGAAGTTGTCTGAGACGAAGGCTGAGCCTGGGGAGCGGGTACTCCGCGTGGAAGGATCTGGAGTGATGGTCCGGGAGTGGGGGGGCTCCATCACAACCCTGGGAGAGGTTTTGTGTTGGGGCAGATCCAGGCCCGTGCTGTTCAGTACGCTGAGCTCAGACAGACGAGAGCCCAGGACAGAGGCATGGAAACGCTGCGGGATTATGTCCTCGGAGCATTCGAGTCTCCTCAACAGCTCCGGGGAGCTCAGAGAGGCTTCGTCACGAGAGACACTCACAATGTCCTCAAAGGGTCTCTGAGAAATATCTGATGAATCAAGAAATAAAAAAAGTCATTGTGAGAACATATTTTTGTTTCAGTTCAATTGTCAGTTTGTGTTGAGAGATTATCATTGTTTGTGACAATTGTTATATAATAGTAGTGTAAAACTAATTTATAGTATGTTTAAAGAAGTTCTACCTTTCTGTTGGTATCCTTGTTGATGATGAAGTGTGTCCTGCTGTTGACAGTGCTGTTGGAGTTGCTGTAGTTCTCTCTGCTGATAGGCCAGTTCCTCTTCCTGCACAGCCAGGTCCTCTTGCAAACGTCTGAGCTCTGCCTTCAGCCGCTGGTTTTCAGTCTCCAGGTCGACAAGGGCACAGTCTTTGGTCTAAAATACAGGATCCAACATTTATAAAACTCAGGACTAAAAGACTAACTTGTAGAATTAAATAAAATTAAATCTATAGTTGAAATTTTTGTGTGCTCAGTTAAATATTCCCACCTGTCCTTCCTCGTGTAGTTTCTCAGCTCTCGCTGCACTGGTGCTCAGACCCTGTATCACTGTGGTCAGCTCCGTCCTCAGAGCCTGATGCTCGGCCCTGAGTCTGATGAGCTCCTCCTCCTTCTGTCTTAAAGCAGTGTCTGCTTTAGCCAAAGTCACTTCAGCATTTGTCTGATTAAAAGAGAAATATCCGTATGAGTATTGAGTGTGACTTTCCTGTACAGGCATGTGCATTCATGCCCTACATTGTTTTCCAGAGCTCTACATGAGCAGTAGATGAATGGAATTCAGTACTTTGCGAAGTAACAACATTTAATTTAGCAACACTTGTCGGACACATTTGCAACTAAAGCTATTCTAGTATGCTGGGACCATTTGCCAAAAGCAGCTGTGCACCAGTACAATCAAAGTTTGACAGAATGCAAAGACAAGCAGCAGCAGAACTAATGTATTTCAGCCTTCTTTTTTTATAAAGACCACAACTTGTCCTTACCACATCCTGCAGAGTAGATCGCAGCGGAATAGAAAACAAATCCACCAGCTTTAAAAACAAGAGCTAACAAAGATTTTTCTCCCCCTTCCTCATTTTCATGTCACTTCCTCCGTGCAAGACTCTGCCGTCTCTTTGCTGTAACACGTCATTACGCTCCTAACTATAACCAGATGTGGTCTTGCCTGCAGTTGCTAGCAAAAAAAAAGACAAATTCCCTTTCTGGACCTGGGGCCCGTTGAAGCTGGTTTACAGTTATTTGGGTGGCTTTGCATAAAACCCCCACCTCTTAAAACCTAAATTCTATCAAGCTACTGTATACTTATAGATACAGTCCCCTTAATTTGCCAATTTTTTGGGAAAATCGGAAATCAGTGAAAATGTCGAAAAATCATTCTCACAATGTTAAAGAACACGACTTAAAGATTTTGTATCTGCCCCTTGATCCCGATCCGCAACAAACCACATCCCTCCACCAAGTTTTCTGGTAATCCATCCAGTATTTAAACCAATGAACCAACACACAGTCAGGGATGAAAATCTAAAACCAGAAACTAAGGTCTGCTGTGAACTATGTACACAAAACAAAGATGTAAAAAAACAGAAAGATTGGCAGCTAAATTAAAACTTAGATTCAATAATATTTTAATGTCATTAACCATGAATAAAATAATTATCTACAACAGTGACACTCACCAGCACCTCCTTTTGAGCCTCTTCTTGATTGGTTTCCTTCTCATTGAGTTTAACAGTCAGGTCCTGGATCAGGCTTCTCATTGAAGTCACTTCCTGCCTCAGCCTTTCAATTTCCACCTGAAGTTGCTTCTCCTTCCTCCTGAGTGCTTCACTTTCAGCAGAAAGCTCTTCCTTCACAGTCTCAAGCGTTTTAATCTTTGCCCTTTCAACAGCAACCAGTTTCTCCATATCTACCACCTCGGCTCTCATCTCCTGAATTTGTCTCTCAAGTGTAAGGCTGGTTTCTCTGAGAACCTCCATTTCTAGTTTCATCTCCTGCTCTTTTGTTTTTAAAGTTTCAATCTCTCTCATCTGCTCTTGTTCTGCCTCTTGAAGATTGGTAACCAGGGTGTTAAGATGGGCTTTCTCCCCATGCAGGGATTCCCTCTCCTCCTCAGATGATTTCCTCTTCTCCCTATCCACCTCTGCCTGGGCTTTCACCTTCTCCAGCTCAGCTTCCTTGAGGGTGAGGAGACCTTGGAGCTCATCTGCCTTTTCTTTCTCAGCATTCAACCTCCTTCCCAGTTCCTGCCCGTGTCCTCTGTACTCTTCCTCCTGGGTGAGCAGTAATCTCTCCAGTCCCTCTCTCTCCGCAACCGCTGTCTCCAGCTGACTCTGAGTGGCCTTGAGACGAGAGCGAAGGGAACGAGAGGCGGTGGAGTGAGTCAGACTGAGCTCTTGCTTCAGGCTATTTGGCTTTCCCCTCCTCTCCTGTTCCTGGATGGTGTAGTGTTGAGGTTCTGGGCTGGGAGCGGGTGAGGGATTGATGCTGTCACCATCCTGAGAGTCGCTAACTTCATGCACGTTGGGGCCCAGTGTGGCAAGTTCTGCCTGCAGCGTGCTGATGACCTCATGAAGGCGCTCCTCTTCTTCCTCTTTGTCCTGACGCACTCTCATGACTTCAGACTGAAGATGTTCCACCTGTGAGCGCAGATCATCAAGTTCAACCTCCAAATCCTGTCAGGAAGATTAGAAACGGACAATTCCATTTTACATCACCACCTCATCGACTCTCACACTGTCTGTATGTATTCTGTATGTTCTTACCCTGACCGTGTTGTCTCTGGTGTTCTCCAGCTCCTGTTCTAGTCTTTGGATCTCATTGTTGAGGTGATCAATCTCCTGGTTTTTCTCCTGCAGTAGAGCTGAGGGGAGGGTCTCTTCAAATACTTCCTGCACCTCACTTTGCTCTTCCTTCTCCTCCTCAAGTATTTTGAGAGTAGACACAGTCTCCTGCAAACAGAGTTGTAGATGCAAATTCCATTCATAATCTTTCTGTAAAGTTACAGAAAGCAACCAATACAAGTTAATGCCTTGGTAGCTGCTGATGTTACTTGGTCCCCTCCTCTTCCAGATTATCATCTTCTAAGCCAGGAGGCAAATGTCAGGAGAAATCATCATCTTCAGAAAACAGTACTTATATCATAAGTATTAGATTTTCATCAAGAGTACACATTTCAAATACACAGTATTAGAATTTTGGACAGTGGAATAGTTTGTTGGCTGTGTGTCTAGATACAAATCAAAGCATCTGAGAGGGAGAGATGAAAACCACAAATAAATAAGGATTTGGTTTTAAAAAAGTTTTACGATAAAAACAACAAAAAAGTTCTTACCTTCAGTGCAGCAATCTGCTCTTGGAGCTCATTTACACGAGCTGCATTCTGATTGGCCAGTGACTCCAGCTGAAGTGTGAGGTGTTTTAGTTCAACTTCTTTGATGCTCAAGTCTCTTTGCACATTCTCCAGTTGGCCAAGCAGAACCTCAACCTGAAATGCACATTATTTATTTACATTTTTTTGTTTATACAAGGTTCTAGCATTCAGAAACATCTAGTCCTAGTGGTGGCTTCAAAAGACAGATCTGGCTAGCTTTACCCATTTGTACCAGCAGGTGGCACTGCTGCCAAATGTGCAAATTAAAATGCCCAAAAATGTCTGCCTCTTTCCACCAGCTTTTCATTAGCTCCTAGATACCTCTTGCTCTTTGCACTGTAGGCTCTGCTGAGCAGTGTCCAGGGCATCCCTAAGCTCCTGGGTCGGATCACGTGTGTTGTCATGGTAACAGTGTCTCGTCTCATCCAGTTTGGACTGCAGGGCGGAGATCTGAAGCCTGTTGGACAGCTGCTGCTGCTCCAGTGCTTGCTTATCCTGGCAGGAGGAGGAGATGAGGGAATCCTTGAGAAAAAAGTGAAGGTGCACACTTATGACCCTATCTAAACTGAAAGTGTTCATCTGCTCTTACTTGTGTGAGCTCCTGTTCTCTCAACTTTGCTTTGTGAAGCTCTTGTTCAAGTTGACCAATAGATCGGTTACTCTCAGCAGTGTTGAGCAGCGCATGCTCTAGTTCTCTGATTCGCCCGGCAAGCTTTTCTATCTCCTCATTGCGTTCAGCAAGGTCACGCTGGGCCTGCTGATTGGCTGTGAACAAGGAAGCGTGGTCGTCCATCTTGTCTTTGATGATAGCTTGCAGACTTTCCACCTGCAAAGACATACCAGGGACAAAGCTTTGAACAACTTTCCAAAAAAAATATTATGGAAATTATGATTCGTAGCTGGAAAGAAAAGCCATGCCGTATCTGCAGCCACTGGTACCAAACACTGAATGAAGCCGCTTCAGAGAACAGTGACATGGAGGTGAAGGACAAATGAAGTGCGAACCATGCAAATGAATGTTAGCAAACAGAAAATTAAATGGGAATGAAATGACAGATGAAATTTTGGCAAACGCACAAAGCACTAAAATTACTCTATGGATGATTGCGTTAAAATTATAATGCACACCATGCACGGGAGTCAGAGGAGCTTAGAGAAGTAGACTACAGTTTCAATTTTCGTACCTGCAGAGCCAAGTCCTCAAACTACAGCGATCAGTTCAGCACAGGAATAAACACATGGTAAAAGTCAGGCTCATTAACAAACAAACAACACATTCATCAGGTCAACCTCTGTGAGTAGAACTATTAGTTCTTCAGTTAGCGAATATATCAATCTGCAAAACATGAGCAAACTCATCACATCAACCATGTATAAAACAAAAATCAGACACTGAAACTTAGTATCTTTCAATATCCAAAAAGTCTATACATCTGGTTAAACATGTTAGTATGCTGCTTTATGATATGTATATAAACACCATGTCAAGGTGACCCTCCGTACACTCTGTGCATTACATCATTAAGTGGTCATTATGCAAACCTTATTGGAGAGGGTCAAAACATCCCACAGATGTCTGCCATCTGCCTGAAAGGATAAACTGCTCGATTCAGGCAACCACTATTTAAATCCAGTAGTCTGTCAGCAACAGCTGCAAACTGCACAGCAGCCAAGATGAAGAGAAAACCAAAGCAGCATAGTCTGATTTAAAGAGTGGGATGAATCCATAGTTCATTCTGATCTGATAAAAATACAAGCTTTGTGCAGAGAATAATACTTATCAGAGTTAGCACATCAAGTGAGGAGGTCACAAAATGGTGCTTTGGGATAAAATTGAAATTTGGTTGGTAGTCCGAAAAAGTTCACTCTCATGCTGTAAGTACACTTCGGATCAAGATAATGGGCCTCACCCTGTGTCCTTTGTTATCCACACTGGCTGTTTGTCTGAGTTCGGTCTCCAGCCTTCGGATCTCCTGTTGGAACTCGTCTCTTTCATGTTCACGCTCCACCGCTTGCTCCTGTATTTATAGGAATTAATTATATGTTAGACTGTGTCCACTGCATTAAGCAATTACAGGAGGACCAATCTCTGGCACTCTGAAATAACACTAAAGTGAAAGTGAAATTAGTTTACAGGCTTTATAAAATGGCAAAAATGAAAGGGGAAGCTGAAAAAGCAGATTAATTACGTTTTAGCATCACGTTATATCAATATGTAAAAATATTCACCTCTATAAACTGGCGGTCGTGTTTCAGTTGTTTCTCCAGTGCTTGGACACGCTGGTTAAGGTCTTCCGTGTGGGTCTTGTTGTGCAGCTCTGTCTCCAGGCCCTTGGTTTCTTGGTCTTCCAAATCCCTCTCCAGGGCCCTGAGGCGTTGAGACAGAGATCTGTGGTCCCGCTCCGCCTGCCGCTGCAGGTCCAGCCTATCCTGGGTCAAAAGCTCCGTCTCTGCTAGTAGAGCTTCAAAAATGAGAGAGGAAGGTGAGGTTGACTGTTGCAGTGTAAATAAAGAATTTTGAAAAGCAGGCAAGACAGTTAAATCATGAAGCTGTTAAACATACAGTGCCTTTCCTCCAGAAAAGTCACTGAATGCATTCTCAACAGATCTGATGTCAATCGTTGTTATATAGGTAAAACAACAACGAATAACACAGCATGCCGAGTCTTCGCTACAACATACTGGCTATGGTAGAGTTACAAACAGCAACCTCACACATCACTGCAAATATACTGCAAATTCACCCCCCACCCCCAACACACACATACTCCACTCTGACCCACAAACCTGCGTCAGGATCTAAATTCAGCCCATGGCCTACAGAGAGAAGATGCATCCGAGCACAGACATTACATAAGTGTATGGTCAAGCTTGCTACAAAGGTCATGTGACACAATATGAAGACAAACTTAGGATTTCTTTATTTCACTTCTTCTACCACTCACCTTTCTCTCGATCCCCCAGACCGGCAGAGAGATGCTCCTTCTGGCGGAGGAGAATCGTGTGCTCCTCACTGAGCTCCTGGTGCTTCAGTCTGAGGCTTTCCAGCTCCCCAGTGACGCTCCCCATCTGGTGCAGCTTCAACTTAAGATCCTCCAGCTCCTCTACTAGTCTCTCCTCTTGTGCCTCCCTCTGCTGGAGACACTCCTCTAGGACCACTTTCTCAGCCATGTAGCCCTCTAGGAGCCCTTGACACATGATGCAAACAGAATGAGGTCAGAAAAAGACATACTATGCTTAAGCCTCTTGTGCTTGGCATCATAAACAGTTGGATTATGCTTAAACTTTGGTTCAAGTGATGGAAATGGAGTATGAGCAGGAGAGAACAGCGTATTAAAGATCAGTGGATTAACGACTGTAACTTGGCAGCAGAACATGAGTCAAGTGAAGTAAAGCGAATGAGGTCGCAGTGCTCACCCTCAGCCTTGTGGAGCTCCAGCTGGAGTTGACTCTTGAGCCTTGCTTCCTGATCTAGCTGCTCCAATAAGAGCTTGTGCTGCTTAAAGAGTTGGGCGGAGTCTTCTCTGCCCTGAGAGAACTTCTCTTCCAGAGAAAGGTGGACATCATGAGTCTGCTCCAGCTGGAAAAATTTGAGAAACCCACAATTATTAGACAGACACCATTTCTTGTGCATGGTTGAGTGAGATCAGTGGGTCTATGAATCCTTTACCTGTGTGTTGGCCTGGTTGAGCAGTTCCAGTAGCGTGCCTACTGTGTGTCGTAGTCTGCCGCAGGCATTCAGAGCTGCTTCTTCTCCGCCAGGACTGATCTGAGCATCTGAAACGAGCAAGCTCTCACAGAATAGCTGGGTCAGCTCCACATCCTCTGCTGACAACTCTGAAACTGTAATGCCTACAGAAAAAAGGGAAAATGTCAAATGTAATTGCTGAATTTACATAAATATTGACCCCATGGTCCTTGAGGAAATGACTTCATTCATATCTGTACCTCTAACAAAAACCCATGAACCAGCCTGAGCCAAAAATAATGATGGATATGCCGTATATAACTTCAGAATGAGTTAGAAGCCAACTTACCCGACTCGTCTGCATCTTTGATCCCTGCTGAGCTCTTCTGATGAGAAGCCTGCTGAGATGTGCTGGTTCTGGCACTGATCTTTTGGCCAATCAATTCCTCTGTTGCAACGATGCTGCGAACAATCTCAATCAGCACCATCCCTAGCTTTTCATTGGCCTTGTGCAGATTATATCTGGGAGAACAAAAGTAATGTCAGACCAACACATACACCAAACCATGTGATACTGACAACCAGTATCAATTAGAAGCATATTTCAAAGTATTAACACAATCTAACTACCGCTGGTATACACAGGAAACAATTAGGGCACAACATACACAAAGGACATTATTTACCTTTCCTCTTTGGCAGTGTGCAAGTCATCAGTGAGCATCTTGAGGAGGTTGCCTCCCTCCTGACTTTCTCTGTCCCTTCGCTGGAGGAGAGTGTCCAGTGTCTCCATCTCCGCACGCTTCCCTTCTAACTCTCCCTGCAGACAGCCAACCTCTGCCCGCAGCTGAAACAATGGACACAGAGAACTTGCTAAAATTACCATCACTAACCCACCGACTAAACCCACTGCCACTGTGTAATGATATGTTTAGAAACATACTCATCTGTACAACTAAACAAGCGGACCAAAACTAGACATGACAACCGGTTCAAACTCAAATTACATCCGCCAGAGTCTTACTAACAATACAGGTAACAAATGCACATGGTTGACAACATCCCCACGGATCCAAGAACATGACAAAAGCATCAGGAATGTTCTGCATACATAAGAATAACCACTGGGGATCAAAACCAGATGTCAATAGTCTGAGACATCGACTCTATCCAGATATCAAATATCAACCAAAATACACTCAATCTACTAAAAGGAAAAAATAAAAAATTTTAAAACCAGCTTAACTCATTCAAACACATACTGACTATAACCATCAGGCTTCCTTGGCAGATACTTAAACCTCGGAAGTGAGAAAAGCCAGCGTCCAAAAGTACGGCTTTACTTGAGAGTTTTCTTTCATCTGTGCTAATTTTTCTTACCTTTCCGTCCTCGTGCTGTCTATTGTCTCCCTCTCCTTTCACCATTTCTTCCCTCTCTTTTTCCCCCATTTCCCTCCCGTCAAATGTCTCCTGCAGCCACCTGCCTCTAAACACAATGCTGTCGCCCTGACAACAGCACCCGCCCAGACTCTCTTAAGCCTCTCCTTGCTAACCTCATGGGCTCTCTCTGTGTGTGTGTGTGTGTGTGTGTGTGTGTGTGTGTGTGTGTGTGTGTGTGTGTGTGTGTGTGTGTGTGTGTGTGTGTGTGTGTGTNTGTGTGTGTGTGTGTGTGTGTGTGTTAATATCTCACTATATAAAGCCAAGCCAGGCAGGTGCCATGGTAACAAATATAAACATACATTAGTCAAAAAGTTGTTTTTTTTTAATGAACACAGACTTTAGAAAGTAGATCAATACCTTAGTAGTAACCAAGTGGATCAGAGTTAAAAGGTTTCAGTATGCTCCAAATCTCCACGACAACTAAACTACAACACATTTATGGAAATAAGCTCCAACACCAAGACATCAAGGCTTTGCCCCATAGATGGACAGACATTCAGTCATCTGAATTCTGTAGTACACTGCTCAACTAGGTCTGCAACAAATGTCTACAGCTGCCAAACTTCATCATCATTATTGTTCCGGTCCATTCTTAATTCCCAAATCTTCTAATTTCAGCCATAATCTCTCTTTCATCTCATTAAGGTTGAATATCCAGAATAAAAAAACATATCTTCTTAGACCTGTACAGTCTTGCCCCTAGCGAGGAAAGTGAAGCTTCATTACATCTTTAATGTCTGTTTTATATTCTCTTTTCCATTAACAACATAATTAATAGGAAAGCCCTGGAAAAAGAAAAAAAAAAAATTAATTTTAATATATGCACTACCTGGGCCACCACAGCATCAAGCTGCTGCAGCTGGGAGGTGAGTTGGCTCATTTTGCCCGTGTAGCTCTGCTCCTTCTTCTCTTGTTCAGATGTGAAGCTCCGCCTCAGTTGCTGAAGCTCCCCCTCCTTCTGCTCCTCAAACTCCGTCTTCAAAGAAAGCAACAATGTGGGTTCATGAATTAAAATTATATCTTAAAAACCTGCAGAACAATGTCGGCATAAAAGATCCCTGGCCATGTCTCCCTGGCTTATAGCTGACTACTGGGCTTCACGTTTCAGATGGTCAAACGCTAAATGTCTGAAAATGAAAAAAAAAAAAAGTACCTTCACCCTTAAAACCTTCAACATCAGAGGATAAAAAGCTTAGATCCATCCCATTTAGCCACTGTTCAGATGGCAGCAACACAAACACACGCAAGAGCCGGCAACACATAGATTCAGAGAACAGGGAGACAGACGGACTAGAACACTTCTACATGCAGTATATGATGGTGGGATTATGTGGAAACTGGGTTTGAATAAAGCTCCAGTGGGACAGAGTCCAAGAGAAAGTACTATCCTTTGGAGGGAACTGGTGCAGCTGGAGCTTAGAGGGGGCTACACACACACACACGCGCTCACACACGCAACAGCTTTCCATAATCCAGAGCTATTACATAATGGCGTTTCAAACAAACACTTAATAGTCAAGTAAATACACAACTTAAAATAAATAGCACTTTGAAAGATAATTCTGATATTTTCCACATGAGGCGATTGTACACTGTGTAAAAGGTGCTTAATTTCAAGAGATGTTATTTAAAACTATCCACACTCGTTTCTCTCAAGTATCTATATATTATTTCTTACCTTCAGTTGATTAATCCTGTCCTGCAGCCTCTCTTCTGATTGGACTTTGAGGAGCTCCACCTCTTCTATGAAGTGCTGACGTTGCCTTGACGACTCCTCTTCAAGCTCCCGCCGACATGCCTCCAATTCTCGGGCAGAGATACCCCTCAACTCCTGCAGCAGGACACACACGTTTTAATACTATAATATTCAGGCATTCAAAGTGCTTCTAAATAAGAAAAGTCCATGGCGTATTTGTGCGGTGCCACAAATACGCCATTATAAAGGACGAACAGTGACTCTGTGTAATCCTGACTCTAATGGGCTGTAAGAGCAACAGAAGCATGAGACAAGAACTCTAGTGACAACCATTAAAAACAACTCGCTAGGCAGAGCTTGAGATGTTCACTCATCTGTAAAAGACAGATTCAAACACACAGGCAATGCGATGCTCTATCATGCATTACACACCTGTAGCTGGAGTTGATGCTGTTTGATGAGCTGCTCTTTCTCAGCACTGTAGGTGTGTGAAAGCTCCTCGAGTGAAGAATTGTGATGTTGCTCAAGCTCCAAAACCTGAGAGAACAGATGAGACCTTTAAGACAAATCTCGTGCTGTAAATTAAAAATAAAATAAATTGGGGGAAGCAGGACTAAAAATTCAATATAGTCTTGAGAATGTTTTTGTACATCACCAAAATACTTGAATGTAATTTCATTATCTACCGTAAATATGGCTTTGTAACGCAGCTAAAAGCATTCAGTTACTTTGAGTAGCATTTGAGTACATATAATTTTTAAATGTCCTGCAAGAGCTTTATTTGCATCAGCAGAGTCCGCCACCATTATAACAATATATGTGCCTCCAAAATAAACCAGTTGCTCTTATAATCCTGTATTTTCAGTTTATATTTGGATGTAAATTTAAAACTATCATGTTGTTCAAATATAAATTCAGATCCTATTCTGTATATTACCAGTTGCAACCAGTGTCCAAGAGCAGACACTTCAAATTCAGTCTTTTTAAGATACGACAGAGGGGTTTCAGGGTTAGTACCTGCATCTTCAGGGTCTCCAGAGCTTTGCAGTGTTCATTATCTGAGGCCTCTTTTTGAGCAGCCAGCTCAGCCTGCAAGAGCAAATCATGAAAAATATAATTTAGGTTAAATTCAGCAGTAGAAGCAATAAATTATATGTATTTTGTAATCTGATTAACTGTGTATCAGATGTTAGCCAGATGCACACCACTCATTTCCGCTTCTCACCTTGTGAACTTGGCTGAGCTCCGCTGCCATGGCACTAAACTTTTCCATGTGCATCTGAGCCAGTTCTTTCCTCAGTTCCTCCTTGACGGACAGTTGTTCTGCAGCGTGGCACTCAATTATCTGCAGACATTCTGACTTCTGGTGATTCAGATCTTGACGGTGCACCTCTTTGAGCTGTCCCATTTCATCACGCAGTGTCTGAGATCAAAGAAACAGAAGCCTTGTAAGTACTTTGACTTCAAAAGGAGAATCCCTAAACAAAGAGGGTTTCTAGGTTTCACCAAGTTAAATTTAAGATTGTTAGGTGCTTGCTAAAGTCAACACTTGCCCATCATGAGCTCCCTAACTTTCGTAATTAGCAGTGTTGCGTTGTTTACTACAGGTCTGATTGTGCTGAGCCTCATACAGCTCAAACCACTGTTATGACAATCCCACTTTTAATTTAATCAGGAAACCTAATTAAGTGCTTTTAATTAAATTTAAAAGAACTGCAGATTTGCTGATTAAGGTATTGTCCTGATAGAGTATGACAGTTACATTATGTTTTACTTTCTATGAGTGCCTCCTTACTTGCACTTCCTTCAGGTACGTGGCCTCCAAAGTGTCCATATTACCCAGCATCCTCTTTTCCAATACATCCCTCTCCTCTTGGTGTTTGCGAGTTAGCTCAGCTTCTAAAGCCTCCAGCTGATCCTGACTGGTCTCTTGCAAAATGGCCTCCAGATTTTTAAAGTCTGCCGTTTGTTTGGAATTGAGGGCCGCTTCCAAGGCAACAATCTCTGCATTGTGTTTGGATTCGAGATCAGTGGCTTTGGCTACAAGCTGATCTCTGTGACTGGCACTGAGTGAATCTAGCTGTGCTTTGTGTTTGGCATCGAGTGTGTCCATCTCTTGCGAGTGTTTGCTCAGTAGAGCTGCTCTCTCATGTTCCAGCTCAGTTTGAAGTTTGTTCTTTAGCTCTGACACAGAGTTTTCATATGTCTGGACCAAATGCTGCTCCAGCACAGTTTTTTCCTCGTGGAACCTGAACCCAACAGAGAAAAACAGCAGGATATTACAAACAAAGGATTTCTAAGGGTCTCTAAAATAAAACTGGTGTTTGTGATGTGATCTAAGAAAAAATATGCTGTCAGTCTCCAGTGACTTATGGTCCACCATTGCATTCAGTTTTCAGAGCACCAGTGCAGTAGCTGCAGTTTTGGCTCAGACGGATCTCACCTCTCTTGAGCCTGACGTAGCTGCTCTTCACTCTGCTCCTGGAGGAGAGCAGTGAGCTCCTCGATTTCTGTTGTCATGCGTTTTTGTGCCTTCTGTATTTCTGCATCATGTTGTTTACTCAAGGAAACCAGTCTGTCCTCCAGGGTATGGATCATGGTCATCCTTGTCTGCAGCTCCTCAGTGTGAGACCACAGTCTCAGTTCAATCTCCGCCTAATTAAAATCCACACTGCATTATACAATCAATAAACTCAGGATTCAATTTGTTGTATAAATTATCATATTTTCTTTTCTCACCTCAACCTGCAGACCAGCCTCCAAACGGACTCTGGTAAGCTCTACGACAGAGGACAGACATTAGCATCATCTAACAACAAAACATTATTAATTTTAATTTCATAACAGTGTCTGTGAGTGAGGTACCTCGTAAGTGATTCTCAGAAAGTTTGGCTTTGAGTTGCTCCATCTCTAAAGCGTGACGAGTCTTCATCTCTTGCAGCTCATCATAGTAATGGTCTGTGAGGTCTGAGCGTACCTAACACACAAGTAAGTAAATGAGAGAGTAAGGGGAAAGTGTTTCAGGAACCTACGGCCCATCAGCTTGTTATATAGTTTTCGTGGAAACAGAGACATTAAAGATTGAAGGATTGTGTTTGTGTCTCACCTGCTGCACCTGTTCCTCAAAGGAAAGAGTCAAGGAGGATCTAAGATTGTCAAGCTCCATTGAGTGTTTCTCCTCCAATTCCTGGATGAGACATAGTGTAATATATACATAATTAAATAATAATAATTGAAACACAGTGTAATGAAAACCATAAATGTAATGCTGCTTAAATGTGTGGAAAACCTCCCTCCACAAATTGAAACATGAGCTTGTTAAAAGCTCAACATTTCTAAACAGTAACTTTGTATTTTAGCTAACATTGAAAGTATTGCAAGCTACTGATTATGCTAATGTAACATTGCAAATTTCCTCACTGTGGGACTAATAAAGTAAAAACTGTTCTACCCCAAACATTATATAACAAAATGTTCACATCTTTACCTTATGTTTCTCAAGCTTGAGGCTGGTATCAGAAAGAACAACCTTTGCCTCCTCTGCTTCATCATGAGAAATGGAACTGATTTAAGAAAAAAATGCACAGATGTTACTGACAAAACTCAATGTAAGATTTCATTACATGTTTCTAGTCTTGTTAAAAACCGACTGAAATACCTGTCATTAGCGGTTTTATGCAAAGACTCTTCCAAAGCAGATTCTACCAGTCGTAGCTGGAGAAGAGCTATTTCCTCTCTGTAGCTCTCTTCAGTCGCTTGCAACCTCTGCTCGAAGTACCTACAGCAGAGCGAGGGTAAATCATGTGTCATTTGATTGGATCAATAAAAGGAATAACAGGAAAATTGACTGGTAACTTTTGTACACTGTAGCAATTAAACAACATCAGTGTGCACGCTGACATACCTCCTTAGGCTTTCCAGCTCAGCCTCATTCTGCTCTTTGATTCCTTGTTTTTGTTCCTTAAACTCCATCTTTAGGCGTTCAATGTCATCAACACGAGATGAGCGAGCGAGAAGCTGCTCCTTTAGTTCTGTGAGACGATAGAATAGACAAAGACAGAAGAAAAGAACAATAAAGGGTCAAAAACAATGCAACTAATGTCTCAGAGTTAAGTTATTCAAGTTTCCTTTTCTTCCATGCATCACATCACAGACATTGTTAAAGTAAAATGTTTTTGATACCTTACTTGGGATGTTTTTAATATCTTAACTTTAACAACTAGGTGAAAATAAAGCCTTTTGAAGCAGATGTCAGGCCAGGTCATCAATATTACCTCCCAACTCTTGGCGACTCGCCCTCATGCTGTCCAGCTGAGTCCACAGCTGAGCTACTTCCTCATCTGAGTTCTTTTTCAGCAATGTCTTCTCGTCCTGAAGGAGCAATACCTGTTTGACAGAAAGGAAACAAAACAAACTAACAAAAAACTTACTGTTTTGATTTAGATTTGAAGATATGTTGTTTTTTTATTGTTTTGTAGCTTAGTTATCAATGAATGAATGAAATGTCTGTAAAATAAAATAAAGATTGTTGAATGAATACAAGAAATGATTGGCAACTAGACGACATGTTCTTATGTTCCAGTGAACTCACCTCTTTAAAAAGTTGCTGTTCCCTCTCCTCCAGGTATAGAACTTGCTGCGCTTTCTCCTGCAGAACTGCCTTTTGACTAGAGACCAATTCCTCCAGGGAACCTGTTCACAATACATTAGAGCAGCATTGACAGTTTGAATTATCACAAAAAATACATAGCATGTAAAACATAAAGAGCAACTGTTTTAATCTAAATAATAACATGACTTGCAATTTTGAGGACAAAAATGAGGTATTCTCATAAATAATTCCCTCCCCCTCGGTCAGTCAGTATAATTACCCATGCTGATGTGTACTCTGATGTAGAATATACAAATTTAAACAAAACAATTAGAACTCACTTGCAGCAGCGTCTCTGTCAGCCCAAGCTTGTTTCAGCTCCTTCTCTAGTTTTTGATTCTCCTCCTTACTGGATATCTGGAGTTCCTCCAGCCTGGCCTGTGACTCCTTTAGCTCTGACTGGGTCTGCGACAGAGCTGCCTGGGCTTCAGATAGAGATTTGTTGATCTGAGTAAGGGAGGCCTGGGTGCTGGCGAGCTCTGTCTGTGTGGCAGTGAGGCTGTTCTCGGTCTCTGACAGAGATGTCAGGAGGTTTGAGCGGGCGCTCTGAGCCTCTATCTCCAATTGTAACCTTAGAGCCTACAAAAGCAAAGGAGAAGCAAAAACAGAACAATGGTTGTCATCATATTAGACAATTTTTTTTTTTTTTTAAATTACAACATTACAGAGATAAAATACAACACAAATGTTTTGGTGTCTGACCTGTATTTCTTTAGCCTGCTTTTCTTTCATTGAGCCTCTCTCCTGAGCAACATGAGTCTCCCACTGCTGCTTTAATTCATCTGAACACACAAAAAATAAAAAAACACAAAAAATAAGTTCACCTTCATCAAAGAATTTTGAGCTTTCATCTGTCAATGTGATTTTCTTTATGCAGAATAAGCTTCTAAAGAATGAGCCTGATTCACCCAAATCCATAAATGGTACACATGTTGAGTGCACTCGCAGGCAAACATGAAAAGGAACAGACTGAACTGAAAAACACTCTCATCTGGACTAACCCATGTCTCGTTGGTGCAGCTCCCGCAGTCTGTCCAGCTGCTCCTGGTAGTTCTGTTTGAGCTGGTCCAGTTCTACTTGATGCTGGGCCTGCATGGATGCAGTCTCTTGAGCAAATGTCTCCTTCAGGGAGGGCTGGACTTTGGTGACAGCAGACTCCTGAAGGTGCTCTAGCTGGGACATGTGGACATTGGTCAGGCTCAGACGCAAGGCTTCAAGCTCAATGGTCTTTTGGGCCTAAAGAAAAAGAAAGCACGTTTTTTGTTAGATTAGAAAATACCAGTACACATGATAGCTAAGAGATCACAGACTACAAAATGGTTACACAAGGGAGAAAAAGAGACAGATGTTATTATGTGTTATTAAACTGCAAGCTGTGGCTTAAGATGTTCCACAGTGCTGGTGTGTGTGAAGTATATACACAGTGTACCTGTGCCTGCTGCAGTTCAGCCTGGTGGGCAGCCTCTAAGCTCTCCCTCAGTTCCAGCGACAGCTCTGTCTTCAGTTGACTAAGCTCCTCGCTGTGTTTGACAGTCAGCTCTAACACCACCCTCTCATGGTCACGTTCAGTCACCTGCAGGGAAGACAGAACAGGAGGCATGAGAAGTTGAAAAATAGATAAAATGGCTCAAGCAAAAATAATACTGCTGACAAAGCATTCAGTCTCTTTAAAGACACTAAAACTCTTTCGTCTCTGATACCTGTTTGATTAAGCTGATCTGTCTCTTTTGTTCTTCCTCCATACTGGCCTGCTGCTTCAGCAGCTCCTTCTCCAGGTGAGTGCTCAACTCAGTAATCTAGGCAGATAAACAAAGGAAATCAGAGATTAAAATGCTGCTTGATCACCCATT